CAGGCTTCCTTGAAAAGGATTCAAGTGGCATAAAATGGTTTGTTTCTCCACAGCAATTTACATTTATTAAAATAGATAATAGGCATAATCATTGCTTCATCATGATTTTAAGTGATCCAAATACCTCACTGGGATAACCTGCATCATTATTGCTTCGTGGTACTAGGTGGATCACAGTCTTTTCTTTTTACTTGATGAAGGATTAAATAATTTTCTGTTTTAATGCCATGGTTTCCTTTAAGAATTGAAATATACTCACTTTCTCAAATTAAATAAGTGTGGGCAAAACACAAGGTATACCCTTTCTAAGGAGTCACTATAATCCCTCAAAATCTCTATTGTCAGCTTTGATGCACCCCAAAAGATCAAAGTGCCTTGCTCTCTAAGATGCATATCTCAACAGAGCAGCTGTTACATTTCAAGAGATTCTTCATTTTTTTTTAGTGATAAGCTTACAAGTAGTAGTTAGTGGTACAGGAAATCTTACGACACCTATGGAGAAGTTGTAAATTTTGCAGATGGGGTCAGTACTCTCTGGATAATCATTAAAAGTCTTGAGGTCTAGGATAGCGTTTGGAGCATAATTTGACCTCAATTATGTGTTACATGTTTGCTGAAGAAATGGTGATGCTTTGAGAAAATTAGCTATTTGAAGCTTGAGACCAGAGTGGAACTGAAAGAAAAAAATTAAAATTAAAGTGGTTCACTTATCAAAAAGCAAAGCCACAGAGAAAGGGGACCAATAACAGCATCCTCTTCATTCCCTTTTGATTAAGACTGCAGGCTTATGAGGGGACAGGAAGCTGGGAGAATCTCAAGATAGGAAAATGCAGTCCTCAAATGCCACAGCTCAAGTGGAATGCTCCAGCCTACTGTCTCCAATGGAGAAGAACAATCTGCAGATTGACAAAGCCCTCTGTTTACACTCCTGAACAAATAAACTAATTGTGCCTTTGTTTTTAACCTAACAAATCATAGCCTGACTACAGGTCATTAGTGACCATTAATATGTGAAACTGTTTGCATTTCACTAGTATATCTGAATAACAGTCTTGCCTTTCACACTAGCTCAGTCAAGTTTCCAAAAGGAAAGCCCTGTTATCAGGCCATGAGCAGGACTTAAATTAACAATTAGCCTCTGGAATTGAACTATGATGCAGAAGAATTCATTATTTTGATTCATTGTGGTTCCACCTACTGTAGAACCAGTCTTTGCCTTTGTAGTGGAGACATGCTCTTTGTGCCAAAAGATTGTGTGACCACCTCTCTCCAAACATTCTCAACAATTCCCAATGACTGCTAATGTGTTGGCCAGCAACATGGACCTGCTTACAGGACAATTGTACAGACTGTCCTAAGTTCACAATAAGATGGCTGATTAGAGTTGAGATAAATGCAGGGAGCACACTGGGAATTATCAGAAACATAGAAGTGACAGGAAAAAGGTCTATTTGGCAAAAAAGTGGAGGCAGAGTAGAGAGTATGTATACCTGAGTGAACCTGGTAATCTAGAATTTTTTAAAGTGCAATTGGAGCTTTGGATTATCCGCATTAAGAGGCAAGAGTCTTCAAAGGAATTGGATAATTGCCAAGCCTCCATTTCATTTTGTGCTGAGCAGTCACAGAGGGGCATGGAGTGATTAACAGAGATTAAAGATCTTAGGAATGTTTGAGAACTTTCTAACATAGCAGTTGCCATTTAGGAGCAAACCCATGGTCCATCTTATCTAATGTTCTGTTGCTTCAAAAAATGTCCCCTAGGAAATGCCACTTTTGACTACTAATGTGTTGAGGCCATAGAATTAGAGGCATTGCTAACAAATCAAGAAATGGCAGCCCATATATTGCTGCAATCATTTTTACTTTTTATTCTGGACTAGCTACCAACCACGTGATTCATGCCCCAGTTTAAAATGCAGAATGATAGTATAGAGTTCCATGTAGTTTAAAAAGTCCTTTCTATCCATTATCCTGCTCATCTTTTATCAGCTTATGAAAGCTAGATTATGAATAGTATAGTAATAGTGCAAAACACAGGTTCTAAGTTAAACTTGTCTGTTTTCAAATCCTGGCTTTTCTACTGCTAATAAGGTGACTTTGAGCAAGTTTCTTAACCTTTCTGAGTTTCTCTTTGCTTATCTGTGAAACAGATAATAATGGTGCCTACCTCAAAAGGTGATTTCAAAACTCTAATTAGGTAACTAATGCATGGAAAAGGTTTAGTACACTACATGGCACATAATTAGTGCTCAATACATATTAACTGCTATCATTTTTTTTCCACCAGCGGCAGTATCCACTATGGCCACCATCTCCATCTCCCACAGAATGATAAGGAAAATAAAATATCTAAGATAGACTTTTTCCTAAAGTCACCCAATTACTAAATAACTGAGGTGGGACTAACCGTCGTCTTGACTACCATTCTCCCTGCTTGGAATACTTTTCATTCTTCTTCCCTCCTCCTCAGCCTTCAGGTCTCAGTTTAGCCATCTGCTTCCTCATGAGCCCTTCTTATGTCATTTCACAGTCCCTTGTACTTCCTTCATCAGAGAACCTCTCATTCTGCATTATAATTGCCTGTTGTCCTGCATGTGTCCCCTACTAAACCACAAGTTCTTTAACAGTAGAGACCAGGTCTATATATTAAACCTTTGCATCCCCAGCGCTGAGTACAGCATCAGACACATAGTAAGTGCACAATAAATACTTAATAAGTAAAAGGATGGATGCCAGACTCTTTATTACCAATCTGCTGACACACATTAAATTATTATTTTGCACTGGAACGGATTTTAGAAAATCAGAGAGAGCCCTACATGGCTTCATGTCTTATACTGCTCTTAAATGATCATAATCTCATGTCAAAATTCAAGGCAATTTTTAAAATACATAATATGTTACATATTTATGGGGTACATGTGATATTTTATTACATGCACAGAATGTATAATGATCAAGTAACAGTACTTGGGTTATCGATCACCTTGAGAATTTATTATTTCTATGTGTTGGGAACATTTCAAATTCTCTCTTCTAGCTTCTTTGAAATATGCAATACATTGTTGCTAACTACAGTCATGTACTCTATCAAACATTAGAATTTATACCTTTTATCTAACCGTATATTTGTATATATTGACCAACCTCTTTTCACCAAGGCTGTCTCAAATTCTAATAGATTCAATTTCTGAAGAAAGTAACTAAACGTGTGAAAATGACACCTTGAAGTGACTCTTAACATTCTATTAAAACACAGACGTATGTATACACACACACTCACCTTGTACCTCACACTTATCACTAAGCTGTGTATAATGCTTATATAGTCACCAACCCTCAAAATTTGGAGAAGGGCACTGTCTTTGTACTTTGAAGGGATTTTTTAGAAACATTTGGACTTGATGAGGCACAGTGAAAAGCAGATATTTATCCTGGCTATTCTTCACAAGAAACTCCTGAAATTTGGAATCTGAACTGTCTCTCACAGTTTTTATGTTTTTAGAAATTTTGAGTCTGATACAACACAAGTCATAAAATTTGACCAAATAACAAAATACTTTTTTCTCCCTCCATCTTGGAGGAGGAATAAGGGGCATAAAAGTTGGAAGCTCCAGGGAAATCTACTCAAAGCTATTCAGTTTCATCTCATTAAAGCAACATCATCAAGGGCAAACCAAATAAAACTCAAACCCCAATCAGTATTATATTAAAATGCACTGAAAGTGTTACTTAGTTGGTAGGAATGAAAAAAAAATCGTACATTGAAATTACAACAGATATAATTCAATTGGACCAGACAGCAAAAGGTAATTTTTCAATAGCAAGGGAAGAGCTGAACTCTACCTCACATCACCAACATTATTTAAAAACAAACCCTGCTGTTTTATTATTTTATATAAAAACATTAAGAAATGTCACCTGCATGGAGTCTATATAAATGTATAATGCTAACATTGCATAGTTCCCTTAGGACACAAATGCCTCACACATCTTTATCCATAGTCTGGTGGAGAATATTCACAAACATATATGCATACACATATGCATACACAAACACAATATACATACACATACACACATACCTGCTTTTTGTTTCCTTGCCTTTTTGATCTGTGACCACCTTTTACATTTCATTAGCTCTATGATAAAATATTTATCTAGAGCCTTTTTCCCCTTTCGTTCCTTTTATTAAAGGGAGCTCTTCTCTTCTGAATGTTGTACTCTTTGATCTGTCTCAGGGTTCATACAAACTCTGTTACAAACTCCACCTCTAAAGAGAATCTCTGATGATTCTTTTTCTTAAATCAAAATACAGTTCTTTTGGATTAAATTTTATTTTCCATTACCACAAAACATAGCCAAATGTGGAGGCTGTAAAGCTAAAGCCTCACCATACACTGTATTGAGAAATGAATAAAAAAGCCTAGCAGAAGCCTCCATGCTGCTTCATCCAAATCAAGTGTAACTACTTAGGAGTTAATAGTGAAAGGACTTTAGAATATTTGATACAGGTGAGAAGTTGTTTTTTCCTACACAGTGATTTCTAGATCTATTTTCTCATTGGAAATTACCCGTTCAGTGATACTTTTATTTTTCGTTATATTCAAAGTAAGATGCCCATATTGTCTTTCTTTGCCTCTTGACCCCAAAAGCTCTTTTTCTTTGTTTGAGCAGTTAATACATTTACCTTGTTCTCTAGTTTATTCGACAAACCTAACATCAATAAAGCAGGCTCTATTCTTGTTTAGCCAACACTTTCTCTCCTGGTAATTTTATAACCAATGATAATGTATCATCCCCATGTACATTTGGTCAAAATATGCTCTTGTTCTTAAAACAATAAATCAAATTATGCTTCCTATGTACAATAACTATTTTAAAAATGTAAATTAACTTATTTGTGTCCCACGGAACAACTTTTAAGCAATTGGAACTATTTAACACTTCTATACTGCTACTTTATCAAGAAGAGTAGGTATAAATAATAATACGAATACCTTTATTTCCATAGGTGTTTTCATCTGGATAATTCATGCTTCATTATTGTGCCACTATTCTCTGTCTTGGGTTCTCCCTTGGCTCCTGTGACAAACATGGGGTTCAGATCCAGACTCCAGGAGGTAGCGATGCTTCAACTTTTGGTAACATACAGGTGCATTTACACACTCTCCACATACCCCCTACCATCTCTTTGGGAGAGTTTGCTCCTGGCCCGTCAAAATCCAGGCTAACAAGGTAACACAATCAACACTGTAAAAGCTCCCTTGCCTCAGCCCCGTCGACCTGAAATGAACTATCTTCTCACTTGAGAAGACAGACGTAGAGCCGTGGGTCTCAAAGTGTTGCTCGTGATCATCATCAGCAACAGTAGGATTACCTGGGAAACTGAAAAAATCAAACTCACAGGCCTACAGACCTATTCTAAGCTTGACGGGGTGGAGCCTGGAAGTTTGTCTTTAACAAACACGTCAGGTGGTTCTAATAATGCACGTTAAAGTTTGAAAACAGCTGCTGTATGGCATCTAGGGAGTTTTGAAGAGGCTGTAGTGATTAGGAGGGCTGGCTTCATATAGCCAAAGCAGGGCCCTGTGGACAGGATACTCAGTGTTTGGGGTAAGGTTTTATGGTGCAGGGCTAGGAGCAGTGGGTAAAAGAGAGAATGCTCTGGTGCAGAACAACTTTTATGCAATAGGAACTATTCAGGAGCAGAAGCAAGTCACCTCACTCATTAGAAATAGCCCCCTTTCTCTGCAAGAGTTCAGAAGTTAAGAGGTTATACCCTATGAGAAGCTATGAACAAGGTAATATAAGAAGAAATATTCAAAATAAACATGTAAGATTAAAAAAAAAGGCCTTACTGGAAAGCTTCAACATACCACTAATATAGGAAAAAAGGTTCATAATTAATCCATTATTGTTAATTTTTTAGTATCTTAAAGTTATTATCCTTAAATATCCTGATGGTGCATGGAGCAGATAATGAATTTTATTTTCCTCAATGCTTCATTTCATATTCAGAAAAAGGCAGCAGTTTGTTTAGATTGACACAAGAATCCAACCTAACAGACTATGTTTGTTATTTAAAGGAGATCAAATCACCACCAGCCAGTACTGATACTGGATCAAAGATTAAGGTTAGTGTATTAACTTATTTGTCCTCTGTTTTGTGAACAACTGTCTTTCAACAGTAATATCTTAAGGCATATACATAAGTGTACTAATATTAATGAAAATACAGCCTAATATTATTTAGCAATTACTACCTACTATGTTCCTGGGACTGTCCTGAGCACATTACAGGCACTGTTACTTTTAATACTTACAATAGCCTTATGAGGTTAAGCACTGTTATCTTCATTTCACAGATGAGGCACCTGAGCTTAGCGAGGTTAAATAACTTGCCCAAGAACTAGTAAGTGATGGGGCCAGGATACAAACCCAGTCATCTCCAGAGTCTGTTTTCTTGACTACTTTTTTTCACATTATTCTAAACTCTAGGGTTGGGAGAGTAAAAGTGCACATAGTCCATTGCAAATAATGCTTATGACCACTTAAGTCATCTAAAACTACTAAAAACAACCAACTACTCATTGAATGCTTAATCTGTGTCAGGGACTGAACTAGCCATATACAAGTATTATATCACTTAATCCTCACAACAACCATGGAAGGTAGTTACTACTACAGTCTTAAGTTTACATAGGGTTAACTGCAGTAAGAGGATTTAAGTAATGAGCCCATCTTTTTATCAAAGATTTCACTGCTTACATAATAAAATGGAAATGAGGCAAAAAATACACATAATACTCAGTAAATGTTGCTTTTCTGTCCTTATGTTAGTTTCTGGGGATCAGAATCGTGTTGGTGATGATCAATCCATTGTTTTTCTTACCTATTTTCTTGCTGATTCCAAATGGTAGATATCTGTGAGTTAGATATTTGGGCGCAATATACAGCCATGACTTAGAACTAAATCCATTGGCTTTTTCTTTATTATCACCAAACGCTAGCGCTTTAAGGCTTGCACCACTGTCCAGGAATGTGGTTCCAGAGACTCTTCCACTTGGCAAGAGTAACAATGAGTGACTTTAGGAATGAGACACAACCCTGCCTAAGCCCCAAAATCAAAGGTGTAAGGCACACCAAGTTGTTCCACCCAAAGAAACTTGTGCTAAAAATGTTAGTGGTCAATGCCTTACAGAGAGTCAGCAAGCAGATGCACTTTTTTCCAAGACTGTAAGATTTCATCTAGTTAGGAGTTTATTGATTTATCTCATATTCTGATATCACAGAAAGAGCTTGGTTTTATGAATCAGTCTCTAAACCTCAGTCTTCTCTCCACCATAAACTGGCATGTGATCATAGGCAAGTTGATTAACTCCACTGGATCTCAGTTTTCTAACTGAGAAAATGAGAAGAAAGGCAATTTACTCTTTATGTTTGTTGTGCAGAGTAAACAAGAGCTGTGAAAATACTTTGCAGAAATACAAACCCCTCCACAAGTACAAGATGGCATTACCACTTTATATAACTCCTTCCTTGCCTAACATTTAGCTGCTAATGTATCAACCTGTTTGGTGAAGTTGGTTTACTGATGAACTAATTTAAAAGCCAGAGGAAGGGGGAATTCTTTAGAGTTGAAAACTATCAGCAGTGCCAAAGACAAGTGAACTATTTAATCAGTTGTTTTGATGGTTAAGAGAGTAAAATATGACCTGGGTAACCAAATAATCTGCATGTTGCAAACCCCTGTGACATGCAACTTAGAGATCTAACAATCCTGCACATGTACTTCTAAACCCAAAACAAAAATTTTATAAAAAGAAGGAGTCAAGAGCCAGTAAACTTGGCAAACCCCCAGATAAGTTCATGTTGGTATGAAATAGCCTGAGAAACCTTTCTGTGAAAGCAACGAGGAATATCACTAAACTACCATGTAAATGAACAGTACATAAATAGCAGCTCAACAACATGGGCTCAATGTAGCAAAGATGCCTTTGGGTTTCTATTCAAATTTCAAGGTGCCAAGTCTCTTGCTTGTCTACATTAGAGAGTAGAACATGGCCTATCTGTAGATTAAAACATCAGGGAAAGGAGGTAGTATGAAAGACAGTTTTGTGTAAGGAAAAAAGAGAAATTCTACCTGAAGTTTACCTTGGAGAGATGAAGAAAATATGGTATTTAGCACTATTAAGTATTTTTACATCTTATTGGAGAGATTCAACCAAAAGATATAAGAGCAAAGACACAAAAATCAGGAAAACAATTTTTTTCTGGTGATTTTACCTTTATCTTGGGCTATGGTTTCCTTTCAAGGTATCTAGCAGATTAAAATTGCTTTGTGATGTGACACCACCATTCTGCTTTTCCTTTTATAGCTCTCATCTTGAAATGTTTTATAGGTCCACACAAATAGGTAAAACAAAAGAAATCATGCTATTTTAAGTATACATTCTCCCTGGGCCTATGCAATTTAGAAAAACATATTCACTCTTTCAAGTTGCTAGTTGTGGCTTGAACTGATTGCTTGATTAATCACTCAAACTCTGGCTCTAGACCATCTTACCCACGTTCCCTTTTCAGTATACCAAAAACAGAGGTCATGAGGTTGCTTAGATCATGAAACCAAGGAAGGAAATCAAGCCTTTGACATAGAAAACACACCACACTTTCTAAAGCCAAGATCGTCTCATGAGTGGATGGTAGTATTCTCCCATGTTTCTCTGACAAAATGTACCTATACTCTGTCACTAACAGCCTCATTGCAATACACTACACTTGCCCAGCTGCCCCATGCGCAGACCTCTCCAGTAGGTCCGATAGTCACTAATCCACTGATTAAACATTTTAAAACTGGCTTTGGCAAAACATGCCAGAAATTCCTTCAGGGTAATTAAAACCACCCTCTGTGTCAATAAACACAGACTGAAATCTTTCATGTGCAGAGGGGCTGGCTCTGACTCACTGGCTCTAGGACATTTTTTCTTAGATGGGTTTTCCATCATTGCAATTGATTTTCACTGACTCATCCAGACCATTGCTTAGTCCCCCTTATAAAATGATTGACTGAAGTAAGAGATATCGTCTTACCTTTCTTGTTGCAGCCAAGAGGTAAGGACCAAAGGGGCTATAAACCTGAGGGTCAGGCTCATTGCCAAAGCCCTTTCACCTAGATCTTCAGGTGAG